AAAGAGGGGAGAAGCTATATAGAAAATGTAGAATGGCAATAAGATATGGAATGGTATATAAAATGAGCATGAATTTGAATTTGTGTCTGTACGAAGAGATGTAACCCGGGATCAAGCTGCTTTCAAAAAAGATGTTTTATGTTTTCATGTTTTATGTTTTGTTTGTTTGTGTTTGTTTTTGAAAATCAATAAAATTTGTTTAAAAAAAAACATACTGCACCTGTGTATGGCTTGCCAATTGCACAGGGACAGATAGGAAAGCACTCCAGAGGGTTAATATCATTGCCTAGAAGATCATGGGTTGCCCTCTCCCCTTTTTGGAAGAGCTTTATAGCTCCCGGTGCCTTCAGAAAGTTCAAAACATTCTCAAAGATCCATCTCATCCTGGGCACCCTTTTTTTGAACTATTACCATCTGGCAGACGGTACAGAATAATAAAAACAAGGACAAATAGGCTCAAAAAACAGCTTCTATCCCAGGGCAGTAGCTCTTTTGAATTCTGCTGTATAATGCAGTGTTGGGGCAATGTCGGGGTTTTCGGTTCAATGTGTGGAGGGTGAAGGATGTGTGTTTGTGTTTATTTTCATGGTCATGATTTGCACTAAAGATGGTGTTTGATTTTGTTGTACGAGGTGCAATGACAATGAAGTAAAGTAAAGTAAAAATAGTCATGTCCTCTTTTTTCAGTGGCGTTATACCATTAAATGAATGGTGGTAAGTCAAGGACTACCTATATTTAATTACAGTTGCCCAGAACACAAGTGCATGTTTTTCCCTTTATGCCGTTAAGCAAGCTTAGAAGAAATGTTAAGTAATATTTTCTAAGCACTGCAGTCAAAATGCTGGGCTGCCAATTCCTGCTCATGCTGAGGCATCGTTGAAGAACATTCAAGAATCTATCTGAGAACACAAATGGTCTCACTTTATAGAGACCTTTGGTTAAATTCCATACTTTCATATTCCGTAGTCCAGGCTTTAAAGTTTAATGTCAAAGAATTTTTCCACGTACCTATTTTTCAATCACTTCTATAAAGGTTAACTTTAAAGCTCACTCTAACGCCCCCTTTGATTCTCCTCAATCAATTGAACTGATTATTTGTTCTAATTTTAAAACTTCCCACATTTTCATACTGTTGTAAAATACCTTCGTGGCAATTTTAAAAGTACAGTGGGGTGGAAAAGTTATGGATTTGGGTTGGGCGTGTTGGAAGAATATCCTTCTGGGTTCAGTTCCAAGTGGGGAAGAAAGACACTAGAAACATAGTGACTGCTTGGAAAGATGGTTTAATGGTGGACAGGACCACATGCCTTGGAGCTCCAAAGTGAAAAGGATGGCCACATACTTCAAGATATTGGGTGAAGGAAAAGAAGAAGAAAAAAAA